GTTCGAACTGCTGAACTTTTGGCTAGCAGCTGAGCTGTTTAACCACTGTACCACCAGGTCTTTTTCCACTAACCTAAAGAACACTGTAAAGGAGAAAAAGGGCAAAGAGAAGAAGGTCAAGGAAAGGATGAAAAGAGTCTGACAGGTTCTTGTCAGGAAGAGGACGCTCTATTCTATTTTTTCATGGAAAGAAAATGGCTGAAATTGTTACAGTGTACACACTAGGAGATTTCTGACTGGGAAGTATGGAAGGTCTGTGTACTAGAAAAATTGAGGTTGGACATGACATTTTCTCTAAAACTTTCTGATTGTCCATACTGGTCTACTGCTGAAAGAGGGAGAAGAGTTGGGTCAAAGTTCAAAGTCATCTCCAGAAGTCCTCTGTCCCTCCAAGAGCAAAAACCTGTTAAATTTATAGTGTGGTGTTTAGCAGTTGAAAGAAACACAAAACATTTTATTCCTCCTTGGCCTCCCATCTTTAAGTCTGAATAGCCTTTGGGCTGCCCCTGTTCCTTTGTACATCCTGGAAGCCTGGAGGGTGTCTCGAAAGTTGTAATGATTGTGTGTGGCTGAGGAAAAGCCAGTGATGGCCTGACTCACACTCTCTTTCTCCCTTCCTCTACCCACATCCCCTCCCTTCTCCACCCTCACTGCCAGCCAGTCAGATGCTAACTGGAAGCTACAGTTTTTCTTCCCAACCCACAGCCTATCCAAAGGAAGAAGCTTATCTCATGTCCTCTGATCATAGAGTTTTGAGATCTAGAGGGAACTTTTAGAGTTGAGTGAGCCATTTTACAGAAGAGGCAGTGAAGCCGTTTATCTCGTTGTGCAGCCTGCAAAGTAGCAGAGCTGGGACCAGAGCCCACTCTCCCCACAGCCTTCCTGCTCTGCCGCTGTGGACTGGCTGTTGCTGTTTTTGTTTGTTTCTTTTCTTCTTTTTGAATGGGACAAGAAGAGACATTTTATATTGATAAAAGTTAAAATTCACAAAGGAGTTCTCACAGCCATGAACTTAAAAGTAACTGACAGCAAAGCCTTGACATTCCTAAAGCAAAAACCGTTATGTGCAATGAGAGTATTATAAACCAACAAAGTGTGAGACTCTGGAACTCTCTCAGAAAGCAGATGATTTGAGTAACACTTTAACACATTTGATGTAATAAATATAAGTAGAATTTTGTACCCAACAGACATAATATATAATACTTTCAAACATACAACTCTTACAAAATTTAACCATATACTATGAAACAAAATCTCCTTATATTTTAAAAAGTAGAAATTGCATAGGTCACGTTCTTTATAATAAGAAACGTCAACCACTATCAACCACTC